CCCCCTTTGATTTTCTCGGTACATGGAGCACTTGGACACCCCATGTTTGGGTTCGTCTGAACCGGGAAAAGCAGGCGAACAATCTGGCCCCTAAAAATTTTTTAGCTGGTACCCGCGACTTTGTTCGTGTGGAATTTGAAAACACTGCCTTATTGGGTTCGATTCCAGAGCCGGGCAAAATTCTATAGGGTTTTCCAGAGATAATTATTTAATACTAAGTTTATTAATACTAAGTTGATAAAAAATGCTATGCAATAGCTTTACCGCGGCAGTCCCCGAGTGCCACACGTCTTTTTTTTTATATTTGTCATACCTAATGTTTAAATGTAGAAATGAACAAAGATATAAACATAACCATATCTATCATTGAGGTAAAACAACACTAGAGAAGCAAACCTCATTTTCACACGTCGAAAAAAGTGTAACCACTTTTGAACTTTGACGACGTAGCTTTGATACCACAAAACATTTGAAAGTAAACATATTTATGTCTCATTTACACGCGAGACAAGAACAATACCATCGCTCGGATTAGACAAAGACAAAGATATAACTTTACGATGGTGGGCCAGTGTTGACTACCGTATGAAATTTTACCCATAACAACCAAGAAACAATTTTTTTTTAAAACAATTTTGTAATAAAATAAATTAATTTAAATATTTTAAATAATATATTTCGAATTGAATGGAATAGGTATAAATAATAAAATAACTAGAAATATTTGGTTAAAAGGGTTTATATTCAGTGTAAAATCAAACTCCGCTATGAAGCATCAGTTTTGTATACAATTGTCTTTTAGATTGATTTTTATAAGTTTGTGTGAATATTTTACTTTCATGATACAATCTTATTTTTACCTATGTATAAATAATGGCATTTAATAGTAAAAGTGAATGATCAACTTGTACTGATAATAAATACTCCCCAGGGTGTATTGCAAAATCTTTTAATATTTTAAAATACAAATAAAAAAAAATATATATATTTTTTTGTTTTTTTTTTTTATATTTATTTACTTTTTTATTTTATATATTTTTTGTACAATTGTTATTTATATTTGATAATTAATTAAGAAAAATGAATGAATGAATTAATTAATTCTTTTATACAAAAGTCTCCAGCACTGCGAGCTTGGCAGAAGGTGAACGTTCAACGGGTCCCTAAAAAAAGTGATCGAGGGCCTTACTCTTGAATTCGATTCCGATCGATCGACATTGGAATTGTGAAGTTTCGTACTCTTGAATTCGACACTAGCGCCAAATTGAAATCAAATTGGGTGACGATTTGGAGAACTAACTGAAATCGAAATTACCAATCGCCACACGCAAACGGTACTCTTGAATTTTTTGACAGCTTGTTTGACAGCGATAAATTGAGTTCGTATCGTTTGGAGATTGGGATCTACTCAATAGACGAAGTGTAACTTTTTTGAAATTGTTTCAAGTTTCATGTGGTTTTAACTGAACTATAAGTGGATAATATGGCTCGTTTAGTAGTAATGTACAATATTTTACGTAAAACTAAAAAAAAATGTGTTAAAACTGAGACGAAATGAGCGTCGAATGATGCGATATACGGAGAAGGCGTTCTCTATAAGTGAGGAAGAATTTAAAGCCAATTACCGAGTGAGCAAATATTTATTTGAGGAAATTTCTGAAAATATAAAGCCTTTTATGCCAACTCCTAAGAGAAGAAGTGATAAACCACCGAAATATAAGGTATGTTAACATTACACTTGTAAGGTGTACATACTTATTTTTTTGTGAGAAGATTAACTTAATATTTTCATCCAAATTGTAGATTCTAGCGACACTATCGTTATTTGCGACTGGAAGTTACCAAAGGCTGGTTGGAGGCACATATGGCACTCTGATGTCGCAGCAATCTGTATCTCGTGCTATCAAAGAGGTTACAGCAGCTCTCAATCACCATTATGTTCAAAAACAATGGATTAGGTTTCCTCAAACCCACCAAGAAAGAGATGCTATTAAAGCAAGGTACTGTAAAAGTTGTACTTATCTAGAATACTGTAGAATATTGCTAAAAGTAGCCTAAAATATAGTATATGGAAGTAATTTTAGTTGAGACACCTTAGCTTTAAGCATGTAAATGTAGTGTAGTACTCCCTAAGTGTCTATTGTATGTATTAGGCTTATAACTATAATAAAAGTATTTTGAATTTGTATGTAATAGCTTTACTATAATAATATTAAACAATACTTTGTTTCAGGTTTTATGAAAAATACCGGATCCCATCAGTATTAGGATGTATTGATGGCTCTCATGTGGCCATAATTAAACCAACAATTAGGGAACATGAGGAAAGATTTTTTATTTGCAAACATTTCCACTCTAGAAATGTTATGATTGTAAACACTTATTTTGATGAAATTTTTATCAACGAAATAACAATTTAGAGTATAATTTAGTTCTATCTTTTTATTTATATTTACAGATATGTGGTGCAGTTTTAAAAATACTGTCAGTTGATGCATCCATTGGAGGAGCATCTCATGATAGTTTTGTTTGGAATCAAAGTTCTGTGAAACAACATTTAATTTATTTAAATAGTAATAATGAAGATGTTTTTTTACTAGGTTAATATTATTATGAATAAAGTCAACTATTATGCATGCTTATTTTGTAAAACTATGTAATGATAAACATTTTTTAATTCTAACAACTTGTGTTAATATTTTAGTTTTTAAGGCAAGTTTTATATGATGTTCTTTTATAATTTTATACTGCATTTATATTGCTATTTCTAACAAGATTTTATGTATTAATTTAATATATGTCAATATAAATGTCTTGGCCTATAATGGTATATTTTATTTTAAATATAGTGACATTTCAATTTTAAAAAGTATTACAACAAATTTTCACAATACTGCTATATCAATCTTTCATAAATTGTATTTTTAGAGGTTATTGTTATTTGTTGCAATGAGCCAACTTGAGCAAATTCCATAGGAATGAGTAAAACTCAAAAAAAGTATCAGTTGCTTCGTAAAACCGAGGTTTAACTATTAAAGTTGTGTTTTAAGTGTTAAGAGATTCTCGGCATTTGAGTTAGCCACTTTGTTTATTGCTTGGAAATAAAAAATATTCATGAAGTAAAAGTAAATAGCTATTAGGTAAATTGGGCTTAGACATGCACTCTGCATTTCCAATTACACTTATTCGCAATGAATAGGTACCCAGTTAAATAAGGATAATAAAATTCCTATATAGGTATATTTACGTCATTAGTAAAATAATATCTAATAATATTAGGATACAATAATAATATAAAAACAAAATCAAGGGTATGGCATCTTCCTAGCTATTTCTTTAAGGGCATCGTTAACTGACAGCAATGCTTCAGCAATCTTTGCTTTCATAGTAGGCAAAGGTATAATCACATACAGCCAATAGTGTAAATTATTTTAAGATTAAAATAATTTGCTTGCAGAAAAATTTATTAATAACGTTGCAAATAATCAGCTGATCAATCGTTTTTGTAGTATTTATTTATTAGTCTTGTTTTTGAAACGATTGGCCATTTCAAAGATTTACTCCTGTTTTATCGTAATGTGTTGAACAACTCTAATGCGGCGGTTACGTAGCTAACTTCAAGTGTCACCGTCGTCATGGCAACGCAATCGCCGGCCGATACCAATTTCAATCCAATTTGACAATATTGTTTTCAAGAGTACCGATTATAGTGACATTGAAATTGAAATTGGAATTGGATTACTATTGGATTGAAATCGGAATCGAATTCAAGAGTAAGGCCGCGATTCAGCCCTAACAACTACCGTTCTTCCTATATTTTATTATTATTGACAAAATGTTTAAAAACAGTATAAAGCATATTATTTCATAAATTATAAATTCTCCCACTAATGTGGGAAAACAAAAATGATTTTTTAATGGTAACACTGATTCTAAATTACAATTATCAATGTTTTATTTCAATTATAGCCTTATTTACGATGTTATCAATACAAAAACCATAAACTTACACGTGATAAGTAATTCCGCATGATTTATTATGTTTTTGTGACCTTAAATCGCATTCTTTCACTACGCATTTACCCATTTTGGCGATTGTTACTGTCATGTGTCGCTATGTTCAACTCGGTTGACGCCACATTGAACACTGAATTGACGTTTGCTACGCATATGCCTGTGGACAGATGTGCAGTAGCAACGATTTTAGGCGGTAATTACTCATCTATGTAAGTATTATATCAATGATATCTATACTAATTACTGACTAATGTGACAGTGACAGTGACAGACACACTTTTGCATTTATAAATTCGAAAGTGTGTATCTGTTACCCCTTCACGCTTAAAACGCTGAACCGATTTAAATGAAATTTGGTAAAGAGATACTTTGAGTCCCGGGAAAGTACATAAGATAGTTTTATTCCAGCAATCATCCTTTAAGGGGGTGAAAAGGGGAATGGAAGTTTGTATGGGAAATCAAAAACCACTGAACCGATTTAAATGAAATGTGGTATGCAGATAGTTTGATTCTTGAGGAAGGACATACGCTAATATTTACCGCGATAATCGACATACAAGCGGGCGGAGCCGCGGGAAAAAGTTAGTCTGCTCTAAAGTTAAATTGGCTAAATTAAACTGAAGGGGTTTTGTATATTTTTGGTCTGCAATAGTACAAAAATCAATGCCAGCTCAAGTTTTACCGGTCAATTAAATAATATATTTAAAATGGTTTGCAATTCGACCGCTAAGCTGCCTCTAGTTATTAGTATCAGATTTTTTATATACATTACGAATATTATATATCACACACGACGAAAAATATTTATGTACTGTTTAAAAACTGAGTATAAATATTATATATATTATAATCTTCATAATAATATATTGAATTAATATTATTAATATTATATTCAATTGAGTAATGGTAAACAAAATTATTCTTTAAAAAATGTAAATTTAGTGTTTGTCTAGATAGTAGTGTCTTTAAAAGATAAAACTTACTGTAGGGCTGTGGTCTTCCACCGGTGTACTGCGGCGACTGTAAGAGCGGTGCACTTCTCTGGACAGGCTGTACATCTTCCAGTACTGTGGACAAAGAGATAAAAGAATAAATTAGAACCCTAGAACATCCAATAACATCCATGTCGTAGGCTGCGTCGAATCGTTAATAATTGTAAGGTAAAAAAAACCACATTAGGACAGATGTGTTCGTTCGTTCTGTGTTCGTTCCTTTTTTTCTTTTGGATGACATGTTAATTTTGGGACTAGTGTATGGTACCAGGGATTTCCTATCTAGTGTACACCTGGTTCTCCAGCTACGGGTATCCGAAACGCCGTGTGGTTTTTAGTCGGTTCGAGTCCGACAGAATCACCCGCCCCCCCCCCGTCCACGTCCACGCGTGTTATTAGCAGAAGGGAAACCTGATGGTAGGTGGCTACCGCCGCCTATGGACAATGGACATCTGCAGTTTAAAGTCACTAGTGCGTTGCTGGTCTCCGAGTGACGCCCTTCTCCCAAAAGTAAGAAAGGGGAGAGAGGGAGGAGGGTTGCCCTTCGGTAACTTAACTCAGTAGAATTGCATAACACAACTCTTCTGTGAGGCCAGGATGTCATTCCGGTTGGTCCGGCCTACATGGTTTTCCCACGGTTATGTGTAATAGTGTTTCAGATAATGTATATTATCCCTGTGGTGACGGATTAAGAATACGGAGGGTCATCACCTCTATATACATCCCGTACCCATACTATCCCGTGAGTCGTAAGAGCCAACTGAGGGAGCAAACTAGGCAGGACAACAACACTGCAAAGAGAAGGAAAACTTGAAACAAATCCTGCACCAACCCGTCTGGCTAGCGTGCCATAGTAGGCTAAAACCCCTTAATAAGAAGAAGGCTATGTCCAGCAGTGGACTAATTAAGACCGTTGATGCTGAAAATGTTTATTGAAAAAAAAACTACTCTAAAAAATTAACCTAGAAGCAAATGGTTCTTAACTGTTATTTTACCCATTCATATGTAGATTCACTATTTAAGTGTTTACGTAAATAATGTCCATTTATCTATATGGGATTTATTGAACTCGCAATATTTTAAACCCAAAATGTACATAAAGCACGCCGGACTTTTAGCTCTTTGTACCTTCTAAATACGGTCGCTGTTGGTACCCATTTAATCCTATGGTAGTACATGGCGTACGTCCGTCCGCTTGTCCGAAGCGCCACTATTTAATTCAGTGGTACGTATTATTCATGTATATCGATCGTGCTATGATTGGAACACACTTTCAATGCAAGCTGTACAAAAGTTTCATAAGAAACGGTCGTAGACACCATTTTATATTGACTGAATATAAATTGATATTAATAAATAGAACAGTTTTGTTACGGTGAAATATGATGGAATAAACTATTTTTTTTATGTCATAGAGGGCTCTTAGCAAAGGGGCAATTGACCACCGATAATAATAATAGACAAGAGAATGAAAACTTGAAATAAAACCTATACCAGCCCGTCTGGAAAGCGTGGTATAGTAGGCCAAAACCACCTTTCTAAGGAGAGGCCTATGTCCAGCAGTGGGCTATTTATTAAAGGCTATTGATAAATAATAATAACTTCACACATCTCACACACGGCCGTCTAATCCAAAACTAAGAGTTACATACTCTTAGTTTTGGATTAGACTGGTAAGCAGACTGCTTTTATAAATATTTATATATTTCTACATACATATATATCGTAGATAAATTACACCCAGACACCGGACAAATGATCGTGTTCATCAAACTTCTGGTGGTGGGAATCAAATTTCTGGCTTAGTAGTCAAAATCACTAACCACAGTCCATTTAATGTAAGAGGTACCATTTGACGTTTCATACTTTTCAAGACGAAACAACTTTGTATACAACAGCGTAACTTCAATAACCTTTTCCGTAAAACCATAGAATTATGAAGCTATTTTTATTTTATCACAAGATATACAATTGTTAATAACTACGTTAATATATTTGAAACAAAGCAAAATAATCAATATATACACAACAGATGATGTTTTTTTCAGACCTCGTTACAAAGACACGTAGGATACGTACGGATAATCGTAAAAATGTACGAAAAGTCGAATTTATAAACGAGTTTTCAATCTAGGCGTTTTTGAGTGTTTAATACGAGTAATACTTAAAATTCATCTGACATCCAACCATCAACGAAAACCGCAGAATTAAATCAAAAGTATGGGAGTTAATTTAATTTTAAAATAAATCTTTGTGGGCAAAATCACTCGTCACCAGGTCTAGTATATACTAAGATTTACCAGTAAAACATTCCACGGGCTTTTATAGTAACATACATAAACCTGTAAAATTGTAATCGATTAGTAAATACTAAGAAATCATATCGATATCTCCTAAGAATCGGATATTATAGTAATCGATTTCTTTGACCCCATCCCTATCTTCAATCTGTCAGAACTGTCAAACGGTACCACTTAGATTAGATGGACTATTTGTGGCCAGGTAGTTAGTGGCCAGTCAGAGAAGGTAAGTTATATCATTAGTTAACTTACGTTCTGAGGGCTTAGTGCAAGTTTATTTCTCATCAACTGGCTCTGGACAGCAAACGCGTCCGGCGTTGCAATAGGTTAGACTGACAATTCAGTATCATTTTTAAACGTCAAACGCTAGACGCGGTACACTTCTGTGTTAAATACTATTTCGTGACGTCATACCTAGCTATTGTCAAATCATTTATATTTAATGTTGATATCACGATATCAAATCAATAATATATATTATCATCATCATCATCATCAACAGCCTATAATAGTCCACTGCTGGACGTAGTCCTCTCCTTAGAAAGGAGGTTTTGGCCTACTATACCACGCTGGCCAGACGGGTTGGTTTAGGGGATAGGGTTTGTTTCAAGTTTTCCTTCTTTTTGCAGTGCTGTTGTCCTATGCAGTTTGTTCCCTTGGTCGTCTTTTTCCGTGCGGAAATCCCCTCGGATACCACCTATCGGTGGCATGTCGGACTAGAACCGACTAAAACCGCGCGCCGTCTCGGGTACTAATAGCCGGGGAACCAGGTATACCCTAGAAAGGAAGTCCCTGGTGCCCGACATACCTCGGGCCAACTACAATAAGTAGACGACCCCCCCTTGTGGGAACCCCATGTTCCCTCTTCTCCCTGGAAGCAAGCGCGCTTCGCAACGCGCTCGCCGCCACCCCGGCCTGCTTCTGCTAGGGTGACAGATGGCCTCACCTGTCACCCCCAGGCCTCGTCGTCGTCGTCGTCAGAGGTCGTTCTGCGACCTGCGGCGCCTGAGTCGCCTGCGGTACCTGGCCCGTTCCCGGGCCTGGCGGGCCGGAAGAGTTCTAAACCTCAGGAAGAATATACCCTATTGGTGAAGAATACAGTGCAGGCCAATCGCAGCGCCGAACGCGTGACGATGGAGTAGATGTGAATAAACTCGCACTTGGGCCGCTGGTAATTTATGGTAATCATTGTATATTTAATGCCTACCCTACCTACTTTAATTTCTATAACATTCAGTAATTTACTAGTAGGCATGCGTAGGAGAATAAGTTCACCATTTTATCTCACTTCGGCTTAGCTCTCAATAATCTACATATTGTGACTTGAATTTGAATGAAGTGAACTCCTTAAAAAAATGGCATTTCTTTAAAAACTTGGTGCTTTTGTAATTTAACTTTGCAGTCCAGTCTTAAAGTGAATATATGGAGTAGGTTCAGTGTACATACATATATTAAAGCCATATATGAAAGATACGTAGCTCAAATTCAGTCTTTTATTTTAAGAAGACATTGGTTTTAAAGGGGGAGGAGGGTGGAACTGAAGAATACAATTAAAAGTATAAAAGAAGAGAGGTGCTGAGAAAATCTGAGTCTCATTCCTAAATAAAGGCTAACAGTGAACTTAGGCCTCTTTAAAAGTCTGAGACAATAAGCGAATTCGCTATTAACCAGGTAGAACTAGATTAAGAATAAGTTTCTTAATTTACAGGTAAAACTTAAGTGTCTGTATGGATTGAGGAGCCATTTCAGATTTTAAACGGAAACTGGGGAGTTTATAAGTATAAGGTGGGCTTATTTAGTAGGAGAGTAAAAAATTATGTAGGACAAATTCTGAAATTTGTAGTAAGATATATCCAAAGTTATATCATTGTAAAATTGACTCATCAATCATTTCCTCATCACATTTGTTTTGAGGAGCCACCTGGAACACCGAAAGTATTTAATGAATATTTTTGAAAAATTTGTATCACTTAGTAATAAATGTGTTCAGTGCCTACTAAACCTGAAACCAGTACAAACGCAACTCACTCTATTTATTTCATTTTCTTTTTAAATTGTTAGAAATCGTCTTTTATGTAGACTCTAAGTCATAGATCAACAAACACAAAAGCAAATTTAACAATTACTAGTTACTTTAACAATTTAATTACAAATACTGTTGATATTCAAGAATATATAATACTTTTAATGTGGCTCCTCAATCTATATTTAAGAGCGTGAATTGCCATGAAATTAATAGGTCAAAATTTTTATTCCACTTCAAAAATATTTAGTAGTAAGTGTGTTTGACTTTTGAGCATCAAAAGGAGGTAGTAAAACTGAGTAGATTTAGTAAATAAATGCATTTTATTTGGCTCCTGGCTTAATCCTGACGTTCTGCATAAAAAAACAATCGGCTCTATCTACCTAGGATCACAACAGAAACAAAAACCAGAGACATTAAAATTTAGTATAAATGTCTACTAAATAAATATGTACAGATCAACGTTGTATATATTCTGTATCTGAAAAATATTTGTTAGGGTGACCATGTCAAAATGTGAAATCCCAAGGACTACTTTTTAAAATTAAATTTTCAACAAATCGTCAATTATCGAGGTAACGGAATGTACACAAATTCTTCAGTTATAAGTATTTATTAATCAATTTGGACATAAGTTATACAATGAATTAATATTTTAATTTTTTAATATTTTTTTTTTTCTTTTAAGTTTACAGTGAGAATCATAGTTGTCGTAACAAAACATCTTATCCTTTGTTAAGTAGTGGCATGTA